TACCTTGTATAAACTGACCAAGGTGTACTCAGTATTCGATATATAGGAAGAGAGCTTCAGTGTTACTGACTAGAGGTAAAGGAAAACAAACAGTGAGGAAAAATTAATGTGCCTTTGTAAAAAAAAAAAAATTATAACTTCTACAGGTGGATGTTAAAAGATGTGTTCCAAGCAGCAGAAGGCAGTCTTACTATTCTTGTACCAGAGGAACAAGGCATTGAAATAACAAATGTTAGCACCTTTTCTTAACATCAGAGTTTACCCTGAACTCCCAATCACAAAGTTGAATCTCTTATCTGTAAGTTTTCCACTGAATTAAGGGGGAAAAGCCCGAAAACAAGCTTCCATAAAATAGAAGGATTACACTTTGAAACAAACAAACAAACAAACAAACCAACAAAAAGCTGATAATTTACTGAAACTCTGCATCTGTGTTTAAACAATCTAGCTGTTGCATAATGTTGCACATGGCGTGTTTTCTTTTTTTAACCCCTCCCAGTATGCTTAACTTTCTTGCCTTAAACTTTCCTGACTGCTACAGGAACAGCAGTATCTTTCTCTGAGGAAGGAGTAAAAATACAAGGAGTAGAAATACAAGGAGTAAAAAACTTACAAGGAGTAAAAATACAAGGTCAAACAACTCATTGTAGTTTGCAAAACCATCATCAATATCTGCAACCACAAGTGTTTGTTTTCTAACCTCTGTATTAATGTGTAACAGATTTTTTTTTTTTTTCTGGAAAATTTAGTGAAATCATCAGCTTCTCTATTCCAAATACAATATGAGAGACTTACCAATCAGGAGACTTGTAGGGATTTAGGTCTTAAGTAACACCCTTGATTATAATTCATGTTCTTTATATTTCAATGGGGTGCCAAACAGACAGAGAACTCACAGACTGCAGAAAAAGGACCGTCCTCATCTGACAGGAAAGACTTCAGAGTGCAGAGTACTCAACTCTAACACCAGGGGCAAGCTACGTGAAGTCAACAAATGCTCCTATCCATGTTTGCATGACACAGTTTTTCCTCCTTGAGCATTAATCTGATCTTTCTGTATTGAGAAAAGAATCCTACTGAAGTGTCACTGAAAGAATGTCTCATTTTCAAGTCAGTCTATCCTTTAAGGATATCAGCACTTGCATTGTGTGCAGAGCTATCATCATTAGGCTTTCTGAAAAAGAGACATGTTAATTGTTAAAAGGAAAATTTTAGCCAAATAGCAACATACTCAATTGCAATTAAAAATCATCTGACAGCTACAGGCAAGTCTCTTTTTAGAAATGGATGTTTCCAGAGGAGGCAAATATATACATAACCAAGGACATGACTATGCACATACCTTATATGAAAATTTAGTCTGTAGTTAATATAAGAAGTCATCATTATTTAATGTCCAGTTAGTGGTTTAAATAAAATCACTTTATTGCTTGGACAACCGCCCAAGGAATAAGGACCCACATCATAAATATGCACACATAAAAATCGCCATCAGTACTCATTAGAGTAGCAACCTTGTTGGCAGACTCTACAAAAATGGAAAGGAGGTTTGCTTAGGTGACAGCATAATATCTGATGCCAGAAATAAAACTGCATGAACAAACACAGAAAGCATAAGTAAAGAAAACTGCCTATGAAGTCAGATGAGTTTAAAATGAATGAATGAATCAGCCAACCAATCAAAATCAAGTGAAGCTAATACATAGAACAGATTGATTTGTTGTTGGTTTTCATGGCTTAGCCAAAATAAGGCAAGGAAAAATTCTTTCAAATAGTATAACAAAACACTGTTAAACCAACACATACAAGACTTTATCTATTACTCTTGTGTATAACTTTTTGTTTCTTTCTGTAATACTGCACACTTCCTGGCATAAACAAGAATTAAAGTGTCATTTCTGTGTTTTGTTAGAGATTTTAATAGTAAGAGATACAATTTTCTTCATTACTTGGAATTTAGAAATTATTACATTTATATGACTCCAAATGTAAATGTGACATTGCTCTGAAGATGTATACACCTGTTATTTACAAACTGTTTCTTCTCTTCTGAAAAGTGCACTGATAATAATGGGAATATACTGGTTAAACAGATACCATTCTTGAAAAATATTTCTCTATGACAAGATATTTTTATCCAGGAGTCAGGAAGTGACCTAAAAATCTTACCAGAAAGCAATTTACCTTCAAATTCTGATTCTTCACCATTTTAGCAAAATATGGCCTTTAATAGCATAGCATAATAGTAAAATAAACCTCTAAAAGATGATTCACCATTCAGTCATTTAATACTTTCTTTTTTTCAAAAATGCCACAACACAGCACAAAATTAATTTCCCATACAGCTTTCTAAAAGACCATAATATTTTAGCCTCAGGACAATAGCGTGAAAAAAGAAAAAAAAAAATCAAACAAACCCAAACCAAACAAACCAACAAAAAAAGAGAAAGCCAAAAAGGACACAAAGGAGGCAACACCCTTTTATAGCTTATCTTCAAACAGAACGTCAGATGAGAAGCCTGGGTATGCTCTCTTGTTAAGCCATTTATTGTGCTACATTTTGATCCCAGAAAAGTAAGTATTCAAGAGTTCCCACTTCTGGCATTTTTTAATTATGCTTCTGTGTAGTATAACAAGTATAACATGAAGTTATAAGGTATAATGAAGGCCTACGGGAGACTATTAGCACAGTTTTTTTGGGACCTAGCAAATCATTTTTAATATTTTTTTGTGATAAATGCCATATACAGAATTAGTAATTAAGAGAAGCAGCCAAAAGAACAGAACCCTGAAAACCAGACTATCATTGTTTAACTTTTTTCACTGAATATTGCCCTTGTTTAGTTTTTGATTTTAAGTAAAAACAGTTAATAAGAAAAATCTTTAAAAGGTAACTGGTCTCTTAGGTCTCAGGACAGTTAAATTATGTGGCAAATACAATTCACAGTGCACTCTGAGAGAACACCATGACAGCCTCCTAGATTTCATCATGAAGAAAAGAACATTTATTAATTTTTGAAAAACTGACATAACTTACATGAATCAAAAAATGTAAAATTTAACACTAAACTGTAAAAGCTGTAAGATGATGCATGGAACATAACTCACTATTAATGGGTACTAGGAAGAAGATGAACCCTGCAGAAAATCCCTTCTATAAGTATTATAAAATAGCTTATAAACTATAACTGCTGTCTACTCTAATTGTACACATGTCAGGTTCTAGAGATAATAACGTCTATTCCATCTCTGTCACAAATTCTTTCTGTGAATTTCGGCCGATCACTTATCTGTATTCATCACTACAATGGAGATGTTAATTACAGAATGAATATATTTCACCTTCAATTTGCAAATTGCTCATACAAAGCTTACAGTTTCCTTGCATTTCTTCTACATAATTAATCATTTAATTCTCAGATGACAATGTGTTTTTTCTATTGAAATTTACACAATGTTGGCTAATTTTTCTTGAAACATATATGATATTGTGTTTTTTGCTAATTGTGTAAGTCTAGACTTTAACCAATTAAAATTCTGTTACCAGCTGCAAATGTATTGACATATATTGGGAAAGAATGTCTCAGTTGTCATTAAAGAGCAAGAAATAACTTCAGCAGAAACTACCAAATAATAATTATATTTATTTAATTTTTTTTCATTGGCTTTCCTTGGAGCTGTAAGAAGTATCATACTAATGTTCATACAATGTTAGAAAGCAATTGGATGTTAAAAATTATGGCAATAAGCAATAAGTATTTCTATGTTTTCTACAAAAGGTATTAAAGCATATTAAATTTTTGCTATGAATATTTGCGGATACTTGTTTTATTTTGATCCAGAAGAACAATTCTCAGGTTTGCAGTAAATTTAGAAAATTTTGAAGGTCACCATTCCCACTTAAACATCAAAAGATTTTCCCCAGAACCCAGGAATGTTGCCAGAAGATTCTTTTACTCCATAGTGAGAAGCTAGACAGAGAGAGATGAAAATAGTGCGTGCGCAGAGGAGCCTTTAATGTTTCTCTATGACAAGAAACATTTCGGTAGAAAATACTGGCCAAAAGAAAAGAAATATCAACCTAAAACATTCTATCCTACAGAGTTGAGGTCACTGCAAAGTTAGGATTTGACAAACCTTCTATGGATCATCAGAAAGGCAAAATCAAAACCAAAGACAGCTGTTGTGTTCATTAAAGATATGCTGCTATTCTCAAAATGACAATATTTCTGGATTCAGCTAACAGAAAGTCAGATTTTCTGGTGAACACAATATGCCTTAACATCACCCAGGGAAAACACAATTTTGTTATTTCATAACAGCATGCTAGATTTCAAAGACATTTTGGAATCAAATCTTTTTTCCTCACTTTTAAATGTTGCAGAAATAAGAGAGAGAAATTAATCTTATCAAAATACTCAGAATATCAGAAGCAACACTCCTATATTACAGCCATATGCTGAAGTTTCAGTCATCTTATAATACTTTTTTTAAAATTTTTATTTTTAAGATATTAGAAATCTCCCTTCTGTTGCTGAGAAAATAACATCTGAGAGAAGCACGAACACTGTGCTTTGTTGAAAAATGACAGATACTGCTACAGAGTTACCCTTGTAGTAATCTCACTCGTACCTACTGGCTTTCCTTCAGACACGCTGTGGATGTTAAGTTCACATCAAGATCTGCTTTGCTTTATTCTTTAATTTTCTGTGCATCTCTAATGTGGAATATTTTAAAAAATAAACCCCTTTAATTTGAATTGAAGCATTCAGAAAAGAATTCCATTATAATGGAAAGGAAAATCAAACAGTAGTTCATTTAAACAGTATTTATGTACCATGATTTAATTTCAAACTACCTTCTTTTTAAATTCTGAAACTTGCATTTAACTTTATCTTCAAGCTATAAATCAGCCTTTAACATTCTTTGTCTTTGAGTAGATGTTCATAAAACCATCTTCAAGCTAATCCTTTAAAAAGGCGATTTCATTATCTACTTACCTTGACTATGAGAAACTCTACTCCATGAATTAGTTAATTTCTGATGAACTGATGATAGTTTCTACTTCATAATTGCTATTGGATTTTTATTTTCCTGTGGAAAAGAATAGAAAAGAGGGATAAAGAGTGAAACTACATTGAAATAGAAGTATTTGTTAAAAGATGGGAGGGTCAAAGTTTAGTTCAAACAAATTACAGAAAGCTTTCATGTGAATCATATAATGAATTTTACAAAATAGAGCTATTCTATTTTCAGAAACAATTAAGCTTCTCTTGAGCAAAGCATAAAAAAAATCAATTAGTAACCAGGGAATACAAACATTATTCTTATGTGTGAGTAAGGAAACCATTCAGGACAACAACATGGAGTTTCTAATTTTAGTTGCATGTGAATCATAGTCAAGAGAGCTTCTGAATTGCAAAAGAAGTTATAAATTTTTTTTTTTGGTTAAACTATAATAGTTGTGACATTTTTCTGTAAGATAGTGTGGATTTTTTTCTGTCAGTGTTGGAAAAGGAAGAAATTGTATGTGAGTGACCATGAAACTTTTCTAACTCATAAGTTTTGTTTTTATCAGTGAACTGAAAAGGTGTGGAATTAAAACCAAACCAAACCAAAACGAAACAAACAAAAAACAACAAAAACCCAAATTGGCTCAGCATGATAATATATGCAGCATATAGAATAAAAAACTGAACCAAGCCTGGATGTATTAAGGTACTGAAGATAAGTACACACTACACTGAATATAGAAATGCACTATCATCTTGAGATGCAAAGACCCACATCATTTCCAAACCAAAATATATACTTTTGGGGGACTCAGATTCAGTCAAAGAAAGAAATTGAGAGTTTCTAGCCAGGTAAAAGCCTGGGAAAGAGCTGGGAAAAAATGTAAATAATTCTTTATCTCTCTTGTTCTCACACTGTTTGTAGTTAAGTTCTATCACTGTGCGTCAAGCACTCTGAACCAATGTTGTAGGTTGTTTTCACTTTAGGACCAATGGATTTAACCTTTGCGAAGTTCTGTATAATAGGCAGTGTATTTTGAATAAATCGGAGTTTACTCTCACAGCCTTCTGAATCAGAGTCTTCTCATTCCCGTCCTGCCTCGACGGTGACATACTTTTCATTTAAGTAAACTTGTGGGTGAATATCAGTGTGGAGAAATAGTAAAAGAGTAGGTAGAGGTTAAAATAGTTTTGGAATAAACTATAGTTTTTAATCAAAGAAAATATGGCTAGCTGCATGTGCAATCTCCTCATGTTTTTCAGAGGTGATTTGACATTGTTTGGTATTTCTCTACACTTTTTGAGTCTTTTAGATATTTATGAACTCATCATATTTTTTAGTCTATATAATTTTGTCAGTGTACAGAATAAACCACAATAATGCAAAAACTCTTCACTCTTCACATAGATTCCACTTGATATATTAGAAAATACATGTATGAAGTAAGGTGGTTATATACATGACATACATACACATACAAGCTATCGTATTTCATGTAGAAAAATACTACTGCACATATAATAAACCTTTCCTATGAATGTCAGCAGATTTTGGAATGGAGGACTACAAAGCTGTATGATTTGCATGTCAGATTAAAATAAGCAAATAAATCCCTACAGAAGTTAGCAATACACAGATTAGGAAAAATGTGATTAACACTAAACAATTTTTATACCACAATTTCACCAAAAAAAAAAAAAAAAAAAAAAAGGGAGAGCAAGGCACCCAGCAATCACTGACAGTGGCAGTGTGTGACTGGGATTGTGTCATGAGATATGCTGACCAAGATTTTTTTAGGCCATACGACATTTGTAACCTTTCTTCTGAATGAACAGTTTCTGGTATCTAATGAAGGGTGAGTGCACATTAAAACTTTAGTGCAATTTATCTTCAAAATTCAGCCAGCAAAAAACCAAACCAAAACAAAACAAACAAACAAACAAACAAAAAAAAACAAACAAAAAAGCACTGGAAATTAGCCTCCTACAAACTCATAAGTCTTCCAGCAACTCAGAGAATTATTAAAAAATATTTTTTAATTTATTTCAGTCTCATAAATATATTTTCTTATTTCTATTGTTCTAGAAGGTCTCCAGTTTATTTGCTGTCTGTAAGCAAGTTCTCCCACTAATATGTCATTCTTGGCCCATGAACATCTTATTTTATTTGAGCTCTGAGGTTAATTTCCAGAGAGAATTAATGACAAAAAGAAAGAACTGTGTTCTTTCTCTTGCCAGATGCTTTACTTACAGAGCATTAACAAGTTAAGAGATCTTGATTATTTATCTCAGTCTACTTTAGTAGATTGAGCCATTAGTTATGAAAAGCTTTAATGCTGTTAAAACAACTGAGATGAAATAGAGAGGTGGCACGTATACTGTTTGTCATTTTGGTTCCATAATTTCAAAGAAAACTTATTCCACAAATAAATGCACCATTTTGTCTGGGGGAAAAAAGGAATGAAATTTACAAACCACAACTGGAAGGATAGAGTGTATCCATTCAGTAATGACTGAAAAAATTCTGCTGCTCAGGAGACATTTTCAAACTGATAATGCTAGCATGCCAATTTACTTTCAAGTTGAATTTTTGTTAAATATGCAATAGTAATATAATAATTAAATAAAAGCTAAAGAAGTTAGGACCCTAATATGCATCACCAGCCATTACTTGTCATTAACCATTTCCTGGATTTGCATGTATAGTGTTGGGTTTCCAAGCCAGACAGCTTGATTTTAAAGTGGCACTAATGGCCATGTGTAATGAGAGAAAGATGGTATTTGAACCTTGGTTATATTTTTTAAAAAGATCAATAGTATATTTCACCTCTCCCCCAGGCAAAACTTCTGTTAACTTAGTCAAATGCAGAAGTTTTGAGTGGGACATAATTTATCAAAAGTCGTGAAGTCCCCATCTGTAGCAAGAGTAAATTTTCACTAAGACAGCAAGCTTTTTTTTATTCTGTCTTGTTCAAGTTCCACCTGAACATGAGGAAGGACTTCTTTACTTCTTTACTGTGCAGGTACTGTGCAGGGCTCTTTACTGTGCTCTGAACAGATTGTGCAGAGAGGCAGTGGTGCCTCCCTCACAGGAGATACTCAAGAACTTGCCAATGTGGCAGTACAAAAGGCATTAAAAGCCTTGGCTCTACATAAGCCCTGCTCAGAAATAACAAAAACACCTCCTTATTATCAGCCTGTTGCCTCAGCCAAAACCAGCACAAAGGTTCATTCCATCATCTCTTGGTCCCAGACTTTCTTCTCTTAGTGAAACTATTCTTCCTAGAAATTTTTCATTTCTTCATTAACCAAAAATTACAATGAATTTCAGTATTAGGTATCATAAAAAATGAATTAATTAACTTGCTTCTTTCAAATATTAGGGGGCTACAGAGAGAAGCTAATAACTTATCTAACTTATCTTGGAAAGGTGTTGTAAAAGTGTTTAATTGTTTTCTATCTTGTGTATTTGGAAGGTACATTAAATAATGCTGTTTAATAAGTACACTTTTATACAGTGCACTACATAAAAATTGTATATATTACTTTGGAGGAAATTATTTCAAGAAACATTGCAATTATATTGGTGTTTGCCTTTTATTTTCCAAAGCAACTCTTTGCAGGAATGATGGCTCACATTCCATATCTACAATGATTTACACAGCTCAGCTGAAATGCCTATTCAATATGCCAGATAATATAAACATCTATCACCTATCACATATGTATGATATCACATATCATACATTCTTTAGAAATTGAAGATATTCCCATTACACACAAATTTATCAAATAGTTGCATAAAATTTACACAGTCAGTAAATAGGGGAAATGCAAGTTCACAGTAACAGTAAAATTATTGCAAAAGAGTCATCTCCAAAGGCCTAGGAAGAGAACATGCCATGTCAACAACATGACTTTCCATTTTCCAAGTTGTTTGATTATATTTTCCCGAATTTTTGAAAAAAGCCCAAATTTTTAGGTTTAGAACTTTTTTTTGGAGTTTGTTTTCAAAATATTTGTTACTATATCTCCAGTAACTAAGATTCTTTCTAATCTCAGAAAAAAAAATAAAACCAAAGCAACAAGTACAAATGCAAGTTATTCCATAGAAAAGGTTTTTTACTTCATATAAAAGATAAAGTAAAAAAATATCATTCAGAAATTAAAATCAGAAGAGTTACCAAAATGGGTAACAGCATGTGAAAAAATTAGAAAGATAATTTAATTTTCTCATGACAAGAAAAGAAAATTAATCTACCTTGTATGAAATGTGCAAGATACATACTTGGAGGATATATACTATGAGCACAAGAAAAAAATCATCTAACCACTTGTGATGCATTGAGCAAATATTCAAGTCTATTCAATCAGGCATTCCTTTTTCTAATGATTAATATAGTTCATTGTAAATTCAAACAGAAAACTAAAATTTCAGAATTTACAGTCTCAGGTATTACAGCATTACAGCACAATAATCTTGGTGATGCATAGGCACAGATTAAGGGACTCAATGGCATCCCATGCTACACATGGATCTGAGGCAGACCTCCCTGTATCTCTTTGCTAAATGAAAACACCCAGAGATATCCAAGAACCTTTGATCCTTTGCACTATTTTATTGAAATATAACCTGGAATAATGGAACTTTTTAATGTGAATTTTCACTTTGTTGAGGCAAATAAAAGGTTGAGAAAAAAGACCTTGAAACTCTGCCTATCATTTCAGCATGATTCCATGCAGCTGCATGTCCACAGCAACTTATGAAGAAGTAAATGCCCTCCTTCATAGGAATATACAAGTTGAATACCACTAGAGAAAAGGAAAAAACCCCAGCTTTGTGTTCTGACCCCTTTGTGTTCTTACCCCTGAAGATGGGGTAACTGATGTTCTTGTAATAGATCCCTTGGGGTGGATTAAAGTGAAAAGACACTATATGTACTCGTGGCAGGTTTTTTTTTAGAACAATTTGGTTGCAATTGAAAGGAGTTATGTATCTGGTTGTTGTTATTATAAATAGAAATATAACAACATCAAAGTATAAAGAAAATATATAAGAAAAGGAAAGAGAGAAAGAAAGGA